GTTACTCAACGTTATCAGACAATTTTTTTATGCTGAATTCGGAGGTATTTTTCATATTTATACTGAGAAATTGGGTGCAATGCGAAATGAGAAAAATATTTTCTTTTTCTTCCTTTTTTTGTGAATGACGTCATTCGTATTCTTCCAATAGGATTAGAAGTAAGATAGAGTATGCCGCCAGTCCTTTGTAGCTACTGAATTGCAATTTTTTTTCTCAGCTCCTTTTTCAACCATCCTCTAGAGACTTTTTTTCTCCATCAATGAAACGATTTTCCTTTTTGTACCTTTCTTTTTAGTCTCTTGTCCATTATATTTCTTATTTTATCTCTTTATTGCAGTCAAGTGAAGAACATGAAACTTACTACCATAATTGCTCTACATAAAATTATTTAAGAGTACTTGTAAAGAGTATTTGTTTATATTTTAAAATGATAATTGCTTTTACGTAAAGAAATTTAATAAAAATTTCAGAGACAAATTTAACACATGAAACTTATACTCTTCTGGTCTTGCTATATCTTTATTAGATGGATTACTTTGCAATAATAAATTTGTTGATTGTAACATTATAGGGCACAATCAATGAGTTTGAGAAAAAGAAATTACTGCCATTGGACGTGTATGTGACATTATAGACAGATTTTAAGAAATATTCTGAATATTATAAAACGTAAAAATTGGCAAATTAATATTATAGTGCGTGATCCGGTCGAGTTCTAGTTCGAAAGAAAATAATTAATATTAACGTTGATTTGAAACTTAAGTTATTTTATTTAATTACTTTAATAAAAAAATTTAATTAATAATTAATTAATTTTTTCATAAACGTTAATGCAATTCACTAAATAGTATAGTTTTTTTTTTTTATTAAAATCATGAAAATTTGTCATTTATTCTATTTCGATTACTTTATGGTTCTTGTATGTTTTAATTCGAATTTTCATGTTCTAATTAATTTAATGAAAAATTATGACTTGTGTACTTAATCTATGCAATTTTTGCATTATTTTATTAAAACTACGTAGTTATTATTGTGGTGGATTATAGTTATATATTTTTAACAATATTCAAATAAAAATTTGTTCTAAAAAATGTTTAAAATTGATTGTTCATACCATTATTGCTTATTTAATCGATTATTAAAACATATTTATCCACATTTAATACTTATATTATATATAAAATGTATATATACAATATATTGTATGTTTTTTGTTTGTAATTCAATAAATTCGTCTTTTAGGAATTTCTTTCGATATCAAAACTATTAGATTAAAATTCCACATATTTTGACTTTAATGAAAAACTACATTGTTTCATTTTACGAAAATACTTTGCATGTTTCATTCAGCAAGAACTTCCGTAATGTTTTAGAAATTTGTTCACACATACATCTTGACGTTTATGATGAAAATCATGAAATTCGCACTTCCAGTAGTCTATTGTTCCATTCATAAGAATTCATTCGTCGCTGTTGACGCCAAGTCGAGCAACCTAACGGGAGCGTTTTAATCATTTTCTTTTTCAACGATATTCTTGTCAGTAAAACCACCAAAGCAGCACAAAAGATAAACTTTAAAGGGACTATGGTTTAACTATAATGTTTATCGATCTGAAAAAGAAAGAATGAAAGTAAATCGTAAAAATGAGACAATATCGATCGTACTGTTGTTGATTGACATATTGGCGCATCTATTTTCTGGCGAAATAACAACGCTTTGTGAATATCAATAAGAATATCATTCCATTTGGGCAAATCAAGTTAATTTTATCTCGTTTATTCTTAGTTTAGCCTCTATTTTAATAAGATTTTTTTGAAATAAGAAAACTTTAGTTCCACCGTTCTTTATACCGATAGTAACAAGCGTTCGGAAAAACATTGCTACAAGCTTTTATCGACAATAATATCATGTCTTACGACTCTTTACGGAGATTATAATCTTGTCTACATTAAATTGCACGAGTGAAGTCATTCGCTTTAATAATACATAATGATGTCAAGTGTGTGCAACTATTAATGAAGTTAAAGGTTTTAATGAATAAGTATGTTGATTGGTAACGAACCAAATTAGTAAATTAAATTTCAGTACATTTATAGCTGAATATTTTTAATTAACTGTTAACCATAAACCAACATCCTTCCTTGCGCAAATTATGGTTTTTACAAGGTAAATAAAATTGAATGAAGCAAAATTCTAGTAATAGTTTTCAAGCGATTTTCCTACCCTTGGATGTACTTTTAAAAAATTATATAAAAATTTGTTATTTTAGTTATAAAATAACGTGCAACCTACAATATATATATATATATATATATATATAATTTAATTAATGGAACACAATGTACTTGGAATAACAAGACTAATTATTAATTATAAATTAACAAGAAAATAATAATTTATCTCTTATATTCTATTAAATCAATAAAATAAGATAAAGAAAATAGTATGCAATACATTGTAATAACAGCATAGCTTTAAATTTTTCTGAATAAGTAAATCGAGTGCCCCGCATCTCATACAACCACAATCGACTCTGTACGTACAATCTAGCAATTTTCCTACTTTTTAATAATAACCGTTACTTTTGCTGATTATTGAGAATTAAAAGTACAGCAAAATTAATAAAGAAATTGCATTAGCAGAAGCTAGAGCGATGACATAATTATATTGCCTGTCGCATGTATCTTATCGGAACTACGACCCCATTCCTTTTCAATGCAATTTAACCGAGAAATTAATATTCGCACGGATGATATGCTGGGGGCTATAGTGAAAAGCTGGAAAATTCGTAAGTGAAACTTTGCACGCGCAAGCGCGAGTTTATGAAGCAAAAAGTCTACAAAAGGAATACCTCCTTACAGTCTCTATTGCATTATTCTCTCAGTATTTGCAGCTCTTATACACTTTTATAAAAGTCATATACACAAGAGTACTATTACCTGTCCCTTTTTACGCCACAGCGACAATTAATCGTTGCCGTGAAGTAAAGTTAATTTTTCCAATAGCATATAATGCCATCTCCGGCGGGTCGTCGAACTGCGTTTCTCGAGGATACTTTTTTTCTCGCGTCGAGAACCCCTTGCGTTTACAACGGGACGAATGTTTCGATTGACCTTGAGATGCATAATGGGTCGTTTTATTGAAATATTCATTGTAATATTTTCCTAAGAAAGGCAAGTGCGCGATGAGTAGTGCATTTTATTTAAAAATAAAGATTATATGTAAATGAAAAAAACTTGATATGAATAGGCATTGTTGCTAACATTGTTTCGTTATTTATTCGTACTATTATATGAATCTATTAAAGTTTGTTAATTTCTTTTTTGTTTAATAAATTCCCGTAAAAGTAGACGATATTTTAGATCGATCGTATTATGTAGCATTTTTTTGGGAAAATGTGAATATTAAATTATTATTCCGCATACAAAAAGGGTAATATTAAGGTATTCATTTAATATTAAAGCCATCAATATGCCATGAAACTGCATAATTATCGAAAATACAATTTGCGATTAAGCATTTTGTATAAAAAATGCTAGATTTAACTTCTTTATGTTTTGTAAATTTTTAAAATCAACTCTACAATAGAAAGTGTTGTTGTAATTTGATTTAACGCGCCATTTTGTACGTTTTTATTATTATTTATTTATTTATTTATTTTTTTTATTTAATTCTCTTAAATTTAATTTTTTCGTTTTCAATTTTCATATTAAATAAGAATATCATAAAATTTATTAATTAAAATTTTAAATTAGTAAACATTCAATCGATTTGTATATTAAAAACTAAATTTGGAATTTGGAATGAATCTTACCCAGTAGATGTTTATTAACGAGTTATATCTATATATAAATGAAGAAAAAAAAGTTCGTGACACTTTGTAAAGCAAATTGTTCCTATAGATATGAGAGCTTACTGTCTAGAATGTAAAATTGAATATCTAATTATAAATTTAAATATAAATCTAATTATAAAGTCAATTATGGCGCGAATGGAACAAACACTACTTTACAACTATAGATGGTAATATTCGGAAATTTATAATCCAAATCCTGATTTTTTTTTTGTTTCCTATCCTTTTCAACAATTTCATTTAGAAAATACTTTTCGTTAATTTCAACATTAAATCGCATATTGATTAGAGACAGAAGTAAAAAGAGAGTGATAAATGCGCCTCCTCCTATTATTTCCATGATTTAGTAAGAAATGGGAACTTAATGTACGCGATAATGACCGCAGTTATAATTACCAAGGTTACTGGAGGATACAAAACTTCGTGATTATTTATTATTATTTCATTATTTCAGGAAAGGCGCGTTTGAATTAGAGAAGCGCATCTTTTGCTCGCCATTTAGACTGATCAGCGAACCGGCAACGAACACGGCCAGGGCTAAATAAAGAAATGGCTTAGTGGAAAAAATGGCGGGAACGTAGAGGCTCGAAACTCCCGATACTTGGCCTTAGCCTAGCGTTTTAATTACGAATGGGGCACGAGGCTTATCCAAGAAGTGGATTATCGTGTGCCAATAATTGTTAATCTCATTAGCGGTTATATAGACGTGAGCGTCCCTCCGCTACATCTATCCCGTTAAGCAACTACGCGACTTGGTCACTTTGTACGTCACGTGTAAGCGACGACTCGCGCGTCGCCACATCTATAATATGTTGAACGGCGACCAAACATTTCACAACCGACGATACGTTTACGTTCGTGACTGCGCACGTGCTACTCTCATTCCGTCATGTGGAACGAATTAAGTGAGAAAGGCCGACATTACAGGCGCACATCCTTGCGAGTTTGAATAATCGAATGAATAGGACGAACGAGGTAGTAGGGCAGCTCGTTCCAGCTTTTAAGAAACGAGGCGCGTTCGACGCTTTATCAGAGTATTTGCATGTTGAAAGTTGAAAAACTTCATGTATACGAAGAAAATATCTCGCGAAGGAATTTTATGACGACGAGCCGATTTTAAATGCCATTTTATTTTATCGTTACAGGGAAGAAGTGCAAGAGCACACGGTCAGGTGGAATGCTTCCTTTAAATTTCTCTGCAAAATGAGTGCCAACGCATCGACGGGAGTTCTCGATCCATGTATTTTAAGGATATCAGTGAGAAAGGTAAGTAATGTATTCATTAAAGGATTAAAGAGTAGACGCGTCGATAAAGTTTCTATAACGTAGGTGGCTTTATTTAACGATTGACTTCACATTCTATTTAACAATTTCTGGCTTTCGAAACTTACGACGAAAATAACAAAAAATTAGAATATTTTTTTATCAACTTTACGCTATTTTAATGATTAAACATTAGGATGCGAGCACAACATAACCCTACGTTTTACAAATTCGTTGCTCATTTTCGACTTTCCAGCGGCATTGAACAAACTTTGTTTTTTCTTCCCTTTACTCTGGCTGTCCTCGTATTTTATACGTAATTTCCATCCAACTGAAAGCTGCATAAGATAATATTGTTTGGCTGGAGTGGGCGTGAACTTACAATGACGCGACTGTGTGTATTGTAATAATTCAATTAACATTCACATACGAACGATGCCAATAGTTCTCCGTAAAAATGTCCGGCAATTAGATAATTCCAGTTTAAATAATGTTTCGCTTTAGTTTATTTTACTGTAGTAATTGCGAATTACTTTGTAATGTGCCCAAGTGCCCAATCAGATTCTAAAGGCAAGATAATTATAAATCTGCTAGTGTTTTGACAATTGTAACAAACAGTTTAGCCAAGAGACGTGGAAGTTAGCAGAGCAGCGTCTCAGACATTCTCAGACGTCAATAATGGACAAATCGCCGCGAGTCGTTAGAACGTCGATTCGCACGGTCGGTCCTTTATCCCTCTATGTCTCACCCTTTCCTTCCATCAGCCTCTCCGGCACCCGCACCCCATTTCATCAACTTAAACGGACTTTGGTCTATTGGTAGGAATCGAAGGGAGGCAGGTCCTTCCAAAAGCTCGGCTTCAGCGACTTGAACCTAGCCGAATTCGCCGGAGCTGGCCTCTGCCGAAGGCGGTGTCTTCTCGAGGGCTACGACGCGAGGCATCGTCAGGATAACTCCATGCTCAGGGTCGCCATCAAGATGAATATGCTCTCCGGTGACATTCTCTTCAAAGTGTAAGTTTCAATCGCCGCAATTGCTTGAGTAACCGCCGCGAAAGTTTATCACGATTATATTCACGATACTCGGCCGACGGTGCCTTATGCGAGTCAACATTTTCATGTTTAACTCCTTCGATTATATAAGGCACCCGTGAAATACGTGAAATCATTGTCCCGACGTTTGACGCGACATTATTGTCCCGATGTTTGTCGTAATAACGCGGCCAAATAACGAAATAGCAAGCGCCGAATAATGTATTGTGCGCAGACCTTCGCCGTCGCTGAAGCAGACGCAGCTGGCGGTGCCCGGTGTTCCGGGCGTCGTGCCCGTGGAGACGGCGGACGAGGTGATAGGGCCCGAGCGCTGCAGCAACCGCGAGGACTACGTCTCGACCGGGTCCCTAGCCGGCAGCATAGCCAGCACCAGTAGCGGCTTTGGCAGTCTTCCCAAGAAGAGGCCGGCCCTCTTCGCTTCCGGTGAGTCCCTCCCTGTGCCCTCGATCTCCTCACCCTTCCCGTCGGCTCTCTCCAAACATACACACGCACACACACACACGCACAGTGTGTGTGTGTGTGTGTGTGTGTGTGTGTGTGTGTGTGTGTGTGTGTGTGTGTGTGTGTGTGTGTGTGTGTATGAGAGAGAAAGAGACAGGCGGTAGCCCCTTTTACAAGCCGTGAAAACTTGATTTTACCGCGATACCGATTCACGGGGTTACGAGCGAGATACCTTCATTACGCATTGGCAATGGGAATTCAATCGACGCACTAACGGCCTTCGTTTATCTATTATCTCTATCGACTACTATCGACTCTCGAGAGTCGAACATATTAAAAAGCTTCCTTCCCTTCGGATCTTCTCTTTTCAATTAAACTAGCAAATGCTCTCAATCTAGTATTATACGAATAGTCGACTAAATTCGGCGCAGCAATTATAATAATATTAGGAATTATTCGTGTATGTGAACTTTTTATGAGATGAAGAATGTGCCATAGCGCAACTAAGCCAAATGCAATTAATCAATTAATAAACATTAATTTATAAAATATAGAATACAAAATGTATTATTTTATATTCTCGTTGGCAATTCGATGGCGCACAAAAGGAAAGAAAAACGGAAGGGAGGTGGGCGGGTGGGAAGAAGAAGAAGAATAAAATTATCAAATGGTAAAGTAATAGGAGGGGACGACTTTTTCGTACTGGATTATAAAATTATCGCTTAATTGATAATTTTATTTGAAGAGTCTATTAACCGAAAGCATTGCCATTCCAAATAAGCTGTCGTATTGACGGTTAATAAATGCTTTTGATATCTCACGTTAACATAACGTTTGAACGACGTTGTTGTTAATTTGACTTCTAATGCACCATTAATGTTAACACGTATCGAGCTAAGCAACACTGCACCAACACTCTTTACACCATTATAATACGTGTATTATAATCACGTCGTTACTTTGCTTAGCATACACTTGGCATAAAGGCTTTAAAGTACCTCGTTTCTCATTTACGGAGCATTAAAATCCATTTGTAATTGAGATTCAGTAAACTATGGCGCACCAACAACAATATCCTTACACACTAATATGCTGAGCTCAATAAGCGCCTCAATTCGTTATTCCCAATTATTCCGAAACATCGACCCAACCTATTATATCCCACGCGTCCTTGGACACTTATCCAAGCGGCATTTATCATTCGGACAAACATTGATACTCTACCTTGGAGAACGACAAACGAGTCCTAAAAAGCCGCGGCCCTACGCCAACTAGAGACTCCCTCACCTTATGCCCCATTATTATGAAACGCGACCCACTAACCATACGTCATCACCACGCTATCATCCCAGCCAATGTCCACCAGCCCCGGCCATCCCCGAATACAACTAATCTCTCATTCTGTACAAATGCTCGCTCGGGCGACCAGAGCTCCTGAGCGGCACGGAGTCCTACGACCCGATGACGCTGAGCGAGATCGTGCCCTCGGTTCTGCCGGCGGAGACCATCAGCGAGGTCCACACGGAATCCGGCCACTCGCGCAACAGCAGCAACACCAGCCAACTGAGCAAGGGTTCGGGCTACGGCTCGCTCAACTCCCACAGCCAGCACAGTAGGCAGAGCAGCAGCGGGGACAGCGGACATATCAGGTAGGCCTTCGCGTTCCGGTGACGGGGGTGGTGGTGGTTGATGGGGAGGGTGGGAGGGATGGAGGGGGGATGCGGATCCTTTAGAGGAGATGGATCACGATTTTGCCACTGACCAGCCCCGCTCTCGATCGCTCTCTAGAAAAACGGAGCGAACTTACGAGCTCACGATGAGCCGGCGGGGAAGGGAGACATCGGGAAAAATCGCTTCGGTAGACGAGGAAAGCGAATCGAGGCCGTGGATCAGTGGTCGATTCGCTAGCTCCGGCCAAAGATTTGGTAAATCCAAGAACTGAAACTTTGCTGTCCCGATAATTCATGGTGCTTTCGTATATTTTTATGATTTACGCGCGAATCTCATGTGGGAGAGGTAGGAGTGCTCGATTTTCGCGTTTCTTATGATGAGATAAGCCATAGATTATAAAATTTCAGGGGTTTGGGTTTAGTGGCGCTTTCGGGAGTCGAAGGATGATTATGTGAAATTGCATTTGGAAGATTCGCTGGAATGCCGCGTGCAAAGCAAGTTTAAGCAAGCGAATTAAAATTATCGGATGCGTTTGTTTTAAAGGGGCAGGGCAATTAGTTTGCTTATTGTGCATCGAATTGTAAAATGAAATTTTGGGTATATTGGATATTGTTATGATTGCCATTCGTGTGCAGTGATAATGGCGAGTGAGTTATACACAGTTTTCATAAATTTTCCCCTAAAATGTCCAGAGTACAGAAAAGAGGCGAAAGTAGTTTTGTAAGCTCAATTACATTAAAAATAATTTTTTCGGTGTAGTTTGAGATGTAAGCGCGCGTAAAGTAGATGCGCAAACTGATAATTGAATTTCAATAAACTATTTACGAACATATAACCACACGACACAAAACAGTAAATTTTTTATAAGCGATTCGTTATCAGCCCGCTCGATATTTCTCTTAATTTTGCTCGGATTTTTGACATTTCTCGTCGAATCTTGCAAGAGCTGACCGAGCTTGTCAAAGCCCGGAAAGCATCCTCTCTGAAATATTTTCATGCATATCTATCGACGATAATGCATTGCATTAGGCCACCATTGTACATAGATACATTATACGGTTAAGCGCGCACCTCCGACGACATTGAAATTAAAACTTCATTAACCATCGCTAATCTATGTCGGCTATTTTCCCATTAATACATCGTTCTAATTGGCACACGCGCACATACACACATACATTTACCATTACTTTCTCCATGTGAAATTAACACTACTGCACTGAACAATACATCCAAATATATCATGTACATTGACTATTTAAAATTTAGTGCTTTATGTTAGTACACCTTTCTGTTCTTTTTAATCGTTGTCCATGTATTTTTGCACTTTTTATTGACACTGATAATGCTGCTTTTAACATTAAAAAAAAGCACAAAAAAAAATAAAACAAAAAAAAAACAAAAAAAAAACAACGACACCGCCTCATAAGTATTTTTATTATTTATTTTATTATTGTTTTTTTTTTTTTTTTTGCGTAGACGGTTGATCGTTTAATCGTGTTGCATTATTTAGCTGATGTAGCCTGACAATTTTAGTTTCATTGCATCAATGTTTATTGCTATTACGTTTAGATATGCATATTTTTCATCCAAGTATTTCAATTAATCAATAAGTGTATTAATTGTGATATGGTAATTTTTTGAATTTCTTTTTTTTCTAAGCTAATAGTAAGGTAGGAATATTATTATTTTGACTATTCAAATTGTCAAAAGGCTGCAAATATTTTTCTTTCATTCATTCATTTTTTTACCACTTACAGAGCAAGTAAGTATATCTCATATTCTAAAAAAAAATGTATGTATATGTATATATATATATATATATATATATATATATATATATATATATATATATATATATATATAATTTTGTGCGCTTTTTTTTGCGACCTTTTCAGTCTGGAATACTTCATCACATTGCATTTGAACTCCAATGAATGACAGTGGTACACGTATTGCATTATTTAATCATAAAATCCACGAGCAGTAATATTCGCTGCATCGAATGAATAAGCGCATTAGGACGGTGTACCTGCCTTTATCGTAATAATCCGCCACGATTGTGCTTGCAATGTAAATGGACCTAAGACAGGCTTTCCCAAGTACGAATCGTTAAAGCGTTCGCTGCGGTCGTAGCTGAGCTCAGTGCCGAGAGCGACGGAGGCGCTTCATTCCTTACTCCCACTGACACTTAGCGACGCAGCTAAAAGCGGAGACCGGACCACCAGGAGCTCAGGCAGGATGAGGCTAACTAAAAGCAAATTAACGAAAGATATAATTAAAGCAAAATTTAAGAAAAACGAAAAAAAAGAGAAAAAAGCACGTCCGAGCCTCTGGTCTCTTTACTTTATTATAGGTCGCCCTCGTGGCCAGTTTGGGCGCCGCGCCTCCCGATCCTCTCCCAAAGCACGAGCAACGGCGCCAGCGACAAGGACAGGAACAAAGATTCTCTTTCCCATCGTCTCAAAGTCGACATCCCGAGCGAGTACTTGACGCTCTCCCCGCCGTCGCCCCTCTCCCTCGTCGTGTCCCGCACGCGTTTCAGCCCCATATCTTCGACGCCGCTCTCGACGCGCTGCGGTCTGAGGAAGCAACAGAAGCAGCATCAGGAGGAGCATCAGCAGCAACAGCAGCAGCAGCAGCAGCAGCAGCAGCAGAAGCACTACCACCACCACCACCACCACCACCACCACCATCACCAGCAGCCGCTAATATTGTCGCAGAAACAGTCGTTGCCGTCGTCGTCGCCGACGTCACCGCTGGGCCCCGCGAGTCCCGGCGAGTCCCACAAGGGCAACGGCGTCGTCTTTGCGCCCAAAGCCGAGGAACCCCGGCTCCGCAGAGAAGTGGCGCCGGTGCACTTTCGACTGCCCGAGGCCGCGGGACCCAAGAAACCGGGGCCCGGGGCCCGTAATGGGCACCCGCGTATCGGCCACGCGAGCTGGCGCGGCATCTCCAAAACGTGCGACTGCATAGAGCGCGGCGGAAAAACGAGTCCCGTGTTGAAGCTGGCCGAGCAGGCGCGGGCCGTTTCCTCGCCCGACCCTCTGCACAGACCCGAGACCGCCAGGGCCTCGTTTATCGCCGCGATCAGCGCCGCTAAGAGTAGCAGCAGGTAGGTGTACAGGGAGGACGACGAGGCCTACGCCAGCTAGCCCCAGCCCCAGCTCCGACTTCGGCCCCTCACTCTCGTATCGTAGTTTTAAAAATCCTCGGTACTGAACCGTGGAAGTAGGGAGGGATCGGGCAGGAGTCTGGGGGCCGGGACCGGAGACGAGAGAGAATCAAGCGGTATCTGGGGTAGTGGAATTGCGTTGGAACGAGAGGACGTGTTTATTTGAAATCTGGTAGAAGTTTCCATCTCTCGTTATCTTGCTCTCTCTCTCTCTCTCTCTCTCTCTCTCTCTCTCTCTCTCTCTCTCTCTATCTATCTCTCCCTCTGTTGCTCGGGTGCGCGCGCACGCGCACGAGCCAGTAGGATTTCCATAGCCATTGTTGGAAGATTTCGTTCGGAGTTTACGAATGTAGATTGCTTGTTGAAAATGTGCGAAGGACCTGCCTTATCGATCGAGCATTCATTTAAGATTTCTTTCAATAATGTATTGTTGTTATCTTGCTTAAGTAGAATATTCGTTCGTAGGGTCAATGTTGATCCACTGCGTTAATATCTTTACGCGAATGATTGCTGCCAAATTTATAAATCCGAGGTTTTTTAATTACAGCTTCATTGAATATTTGATACACCCTTGATGCAAATAATAGCTTTATAAATATTATCACTGAAGTGTTATTGTATTTTTATGTTTGTGTCATAATGTAACGTATTATTAACAAATACTATTAGGAAAGACGCGTAAAAATACAAAATAAGTAATCTTCCTCAACATAATATTAATGGATAATTAAAGCACTTGACGGTATTATTCAATTGTATGATAACTATTGTAAAGTAATAATAAAATAATTTAAAAATCGGTAATTACGTATATAACATGTTTGAATTAAATTATAATAAATGAATTGGATGAAAAATAAATTTGGCATTATAAAATAACGACTGTTTTTATATAATTCAAATGTCTGTATCGATAATGCAGGATTTGATTATTTTCGCCATCTATTGATTTTGCTTGAACATTCTTCGCCTTCTCTCTCTCTCTCTCTCTCTCTCTCTATCTATCTATCTCTTTAGTTGATTCTCTCCCTTTGCTATGCGCTACGTATATAATTACTTTGCGACTTTTGCTTTGGTATGCTACAAATTTTCTATTTTCTGACAGTTGTTTGTGCAAGTTTCACTCTGATACGAATATTTTAAGGCTTTGGTAAAGTCCATTCGGCTTGTATTGTACTACTAAATACCGTACGAAACGAGTGTTTTAAGCTATGTAGTCTCATATTGTATATTGTATATTAATTCCTTTTATTTGACTTCATCGCGATATAAATAGTTAAATATAATTAATGCTGTGAATATAATTGAAAGTTTCATATGAATATCTCAAAATACAGAAGTTATAAAGAATTTTAGTCGAGAATTCATAAGATATTGTAAATTTCAATGTAGAGATGTTAAAAAAAAAAAAAAAAAAAAAAAACGAAAGAAGAAAAAAATGTAGTTAAATAGATTTTATTGTACAAAAGTTTTTAAAGAAATTTTATAGGAAAAGTTTTCAATTCGACGCATTAGAATTATAACGTATGGTACTACGTGACATTTATACTACGAGCTCAGTTGCTACTAATTACCATCAGCTTGTAATCATAAACAACAATTGTACAATGTATATGCGTTTTGCGAAAACACGGAAATCCCCAATCTTATGCGGACTAGTTATTTCGATTGTCGTACCACCGCTAGGTCGGTCGCTCGTACAATAATTATTACGATAAAGTTAATATGCTGATGATCGATTGTCAAATTGCTGCCCCTTCCTCTCTCTCTCTCTCTCTCTCTCTCTCTCTCTCTCTCTCTCTCTCTCTCTTGGCAATTTCTTATAATTTTATATCGAAATAAAAAGCTTATGTGCATTTAGGATATAACTTATTAAACTCTTTTTCCCATTTCACATATTGCCGAGACTTATTTATTCGGATAATCGTTTAAATAACGTAATCTAATGTGCTTATCAAACCTCAAAGAATTATGACAATTAACCGATTTGGCATTCAAGCGTCGCCTCATGAAATTACACATCCCCCCCCCCTCTCACCCCCACCTACAAGCACCCCAAGTTTGAAGCTCACATTATAATAAATCGATTATACATAGAATTATAGCAGAAATACTACGTATGAAAGTAGTATAATAACGGTACGTAGATACGTAGAATACGGAGAAGGATGAGAAATAATCTCGCGTGTAAGTGTATATTTTGACGTGATAGAATGCCAGCGAATATATGTGTAAAAATTCGCAGTCGCTACCGCCGCTGCCGCCGCGACAACATTAGCCTCGACTTACTGGTTCGACGTCCAAGCTACGGAGAAGGCCTTGACCAGGGTCTACTTTGATCGCGCTGTCCTTCTTACCTATGTCATTGCCTTGTCACTGCTGCGATGTTTGCGCCGGGCATTAGAGTAATGCGGCTCTCAAAATAAGGCTTTCGAGACTCGAGCCCACGCGCCCTGTGTGATGTGCCCTCGCTCTTCTCAACTCACCAGCATTCTATTATCACGGAGTTATTTCTCGCACGATCATAACTGTGCACAATTGTAAGACAATTGTAATGAGATGTACGATGGAAGTCGGTCCGGCTGATTCTCCTTTTAAAATGTCACGTTAAATGGCAGAACATTCGTCAGTGAATGAGAAGTGAATTCAAATCAGAAGGCCGTAAATATTACGCCTACCAATGGTAAAAATGCTAAAAACTGTTAAAAGTAACGACTGTGATAAGAGATATTTTGGTGTTTTGGTAATCTTGATTGACGGATTACGATTCATTAGACAAGATGAATGTTAAACGAGAAGGCGGGAAAAAATTTTTTTTTATCGATTTTCCGTGCATGTTACTCGATGGTATAACGGGGGATTAGAGCACGACAAGCTACTCGCTACAATGCGATATAAAACTAATTATGCGCGAGAGAGTGAGGTTTCCTTTGATTATGCGTCTTATTAAGTTTTCCATTTTATTTTGATTTTATGCATTCAGTTCCGTTTCGAGAAATATTCGTAATTTGAAGAGCAATAATTTTCATACTTAATTGTACTTTTAACATTTTAGTATTGTATCGCGCAATCGCTATTGCTTTGCGTCGTCGTCGTCTCTCTCTCTCTCTCTCTCTCTCTCTCTCTCTCTCCCTCTTCGAATTAATAAATATTCGCAAGTTAATAGTTCAATTTCAATTATCATTCGATATATTAATAATTATAAAATTAATGTAGAAAATTTTTATAATTATTTGTTCACATTATTAAAATGCCAAATTTTACGGAGGCTTTGGATAATAAATTATTTAACATCTCTCGAGTATCGAATTAAGCTCTCATAATTGCATCGTAGAGGATACATAAGTAAAGCAAATGATCTTAATTTTAGTTCATGTAAAATTTGTAGTAAATTTAAATCGTTTGGAGGAATTATATCCTAATTATATTCTAATTCGATGTATAGATATTTTAAGCTGTGTTTATTGAAATTTGAAGCGAATAAAGTTCATATTGGCATTATAAATACACATATTATATTCTATTTAGTGTCGATTGGATAAAAGTTTTTCCAAGTCTCAATATTTGAAATTTTTCTTTTGAATAATACGTCGTTTCATTTCATTATCGACACTTTTCATTCGCCAATCGCCTATCCGTACATCTTATTTATTCGAGTTAACGAAACACAATAATAATTGAGATATTGGAAAATAATTGTTTAATGTCGCATATCTGTTATCAGGAGTGCTAATCGTAAGATTATGAAAATCGTAATCAGTGCGTTATGTCTAGGAGATATTCGGCAAATGCCATTAAAATTAGTTATTCCTATTATTATTGATCATTTCGAAGCAAATATTCCGAATTTTTACTTATTAATTAATCAAACATCTTATTTGAGCTTACGTAATATGACACGACGAATGCTAAATCTAAAGTTCTGATTTTCAAGATGGATAATGTACGTTCGATAGCCAGTGTATTGATAATAACGTAATAGTAGAGTAGAATATTATGTGCTCGGTTAAGAGAGTAATTGAAATATTGAAGTTTACGATTGCTAAATCAATGTAGCCGTAATTTAAAGGCTATGCGAAATGTTTAGCTGCTAATACATATTGTGATTATTTTTCTGTTAGTTTTTAAGAGAATTTTTCGCCTCGCGAAACCATTGAAAGCGCCATCTCGACTTATGCAATACATCTACGCCAAGATGCGGTATTATTATAATTCTTGCTGATATGGTGTGCGAATGAAATTAATTTTCATCTATAAGCGTTGAAATACATAATTAAGCTTTTAAATATGAGCTTTTGTACATACATGATTGCAAAATATATGTCGTTGTAATTATTGAAATGCAATACTGTAAATAGAAAAATATTGTTAGAGTGTAGATTGTTGGAGCGAATTGAAAATAAATTGAAACGCCACACGTGAATTATTTTATAAATGAAAATCACCTTCAACAATCAATTGACCATGAAATCACAAATTGGGTAGAGCATTAGAATACCTTACGTTATTGGTTTAAACGAAGATTGATTTCAATTTATCGATTGCCTAGCAAAGCCAAGTCAAGTTTACGAAATGCGATCCCCCCCCCCCATCCCCTCCCCTTCAAGCCCCGTAATTATCTACGGTCTGATGAACTCCCGAATACTAAAAGACTGTTCGGTTAAAAAAAATGTTAAATAAGGATACTATCTATGCAGTTCATGTACTTATGAAGGATTGTTCAAGTGCACGGTTGCATGCGGCTGACTACTACACGTAGCACATCACGTGTTTAAATTTCCGTCCGAGCAGACGTCTTCATTAATTACAACATGTAAATGCGCTGCTACACGCACATGCACACTCACACGTGCAATATAAGCATTGCAACTATATTTTGCAGAGCAAATGCTTGCTAATGTATGTAAGATTTGTGCTCTCTCAAGATTATTAGTTCGTAGCCTCTAATGTGCATGAATTTATGTGTGTATAGGTGCTAATGAGTCATGTAGAATAATTTTACTTAGTGCGTTGAGCAGTTTTCGTAACATTGTGCATATTAAGTGCTTTCGTATAAAAAAAAAAAAATTAATGCCTCTGGCCTTTTATTTTACAAATGCCGACTAATTTAATAAATAATAGTACTGCTTTTCTAAATATATAAATGATAATAAGATATTACAATAAACTGAAATATTCATTGTATTTTATAATCGTCAATTATCATATACGCAACAATGGCTACATGGCATTAATTTTTATAAAAATACACTGAATGCAGTAATTGTTATTTAATCTAAAATTAAGAAGTATCATCTTCATAAATTTTTAATTATTTAATGCTTTTTATTTAATTTTCTTTCGTTGAAAATTTTGCATTCTTGATGTAATATAATGTTTATTAATAATGTAATATTCAGTTTTGAGAATAGTACGTAAGATTATTGTCGTAGGATAGATATATTGTCATTTCATTTCATTTATCACTACAGACTTATGACCCATCCCCCCTCCCCCTCCCCAACGCCATCGCCAGCCCACCAAAGACACTAAATCACTATTAAATGTATTTTTCTCGAATTTAAGAGAATAATTACCGATTTATCCCTATACATTTATGTATTTTTATAAGCTTTATTGAAATAAAATATTGTTATTTAGATTAATAGTGCTATAGGCTTTACATAAGTATTACGTAAGACTGTAAAGAAACACACTTTGACTTAAGATTATCCCATCCCCATGTAAACCACCATAATTTGCGTGTAAAGTTACGTATGCATTCATATTATATCTTAAAACTAGCTAAACAATGTTAAACAAATTACTACATAATAATGGAATAATGAAAAATTGTATCGATATATTGAATTAATTAAGAGAATATTACAACGTCAGCTTATAGACATTTAATTTCTTTATCATGTACTTATAGTGAAGCTATAAGCTGCGTAAATAGTCTTAATTGCCAGCAAATATGTAAAGAGGTAAAACATCTATCGAGTCTCATTATTAAATAATTCATTATTAAATCAAATTAATGGAAATGGTTTAACAGTGATAATTTCCGCGTATTAATAGGCATTTTAAGCAAGTAGATTAGCAATGATTTACGTGAATAATTTAAGCTATGGCTAGACTTTAATATTTCGATGCTGCTTTCTGGTCTTAACAATAAAAGCATAAATACGAAAATAATTGATAATATTGCATATTTTTATTTTTAATGAAAAAGTATTTTGGTTGTTTTGAAAATAAAAAAAATTGGCTCGCATTCGTAAGTACGAGCAATACTTTTTTCAGTACTATGATATGAAATGAAAATTAGTGCAATGATGTTTTTTTTGTTGTTTTTTTTTTTTTTTTATTTTTTTAATACTACTTAACCTGTGCTTTGGATATCTTTCGACGAAAATAATTGTTTCTCAAGACAGAAACATTTAAAATATAAGTTGTTTGCGTTAAATGGCGCTCCGTAAAAACTTAAGTACTTACAAATCCCGAGCCAATTGCTAACTCACTTCTTTTATCCAATACACAAATCACTCGGTGATCGATATATCCCAAAAAAAAAGAAGAAAAGCCTATTTCAAATACCTCGGCTCGAAGAAGTCAACCCCCCCCCCCCCCCCGCAACACTTCCAAATTCCATTCCAAGATGCCGATTTTGCGAAATAACGTCACCTTCGGCCATTAACGGGATTGGAACTTGTAAATAGTCAGGACATGCTAACAGATCGTTCGCGAGGATACTTGGCACTTTCGCTTGCAGCGTATGTGCTTGAGATCGACGGAGGACTCGCTCGATGCGAAGATCCTAGGAGAGGAGAGTTTGGTTGGCTCAGAGTCCTTGTTTGACTACGTTCCAGGGGCATCGGCGTCGGTGGCGGCCATCGCAAGCTCCTCGACGGCGCCGGCGGTAAGCTCGCGACCGTCACCACGAGCCCGGACTCCGGGGAGTCGTCCTCACTGGCCTTGTCCGAACTGCTCACGGTTGTCCAGCACCGAAACAGCATTACCCCACCGTCAGTCTCTCTCTCTCTCTCTCTCTCTCACTATCTCTCTGTCTATCTATATCTCACACACTAGCTCTCTGTCTTGCACTATCGAAACGCATGATTCTTATGTTTTTTCTTATCTTTTTCTTCTTTTTTTTTACGTGTCATCTTAGTTTATTTGTATAGTGACAAATGGTAGTATGATTAGTCGGATGCTGTAGTCGCAAATTTTGGGAAATTGTGACTAGGTGTTACTAATGCGAATATTGCGTTAATTCATTGCTTGAATTAACAAAATAAAATATATATAATAAGTGAAATTCACCGATCCACGACTAGTCGAACATTAATAACATTCAACTTTAATAAAAAATATTGAAATTCATGAAAAACGATGTCTAATACTTTTAAATGGTATGAACCTTATTATATAAGATTATTGTAATTATTCATTATCGTTATGAATATATATGTAGGATGTATTTGTAGAGTCGATTCCCGTGATTGTTGTGCACACGAGTGATTACGACGTATTTAATATTAAATTTATGTTTCTTTGAATCATTACGGAGTTGAAGAATTTTTAAAACTACGGTTATTCAAGAATCGATGCTTGGCGATTCTTTTGACTTTTCTCCGTTATTTCATGGAGACGTTAAATTAAAAAATTAATATCTAATGTAGTCTACGGCTAAAATGAAAAATTAACATTAAAATTAAAAGCAAATTGATTGTTAATAGCGAGTTATGTTAAATGTATTTTTTTAATAATAAAATGATATTTCGTGTAGAAGTCGAATTAGTTTAAATTTGCTAGTGTAAATTAATTTAATTTAATTTTATGTTTAGGCTACTTTAGAAATATATGTATCTTAAATATATCATGATGTTTCGTTTGAAATAAAGATGTAATTTAAAAATTCATAAATTACAGTGACACAATATATTTTACATTTTCTTTAAGTAGTTGGCATTAGTAATAAGTCGATCATGTTTTAATAAATCGGGGGAATTGTCAATGGTTACGATTACTAACTTGACTACGATACTTTAAACGAAGGAATATTAATAATTAGAATATTTGTGCGCTCACATAGAGAATACGACGAGTTGAGTAATAATTGTTATTTAATCGATTTATGATAAACGTAAAATGCCATTACAGTAAAATCAATTTCCTCGGTTTGATAATAAAAAAAAAAAATTCGAACCAATAATTTTGCATCAATGACATTGAGCATTCGGTGGAAATTCTTCCTTCCAGCAATAAACAAGACGAAGCTATCAAGATTATTTTTTAAGATATAGTCGAGTAGCAAACGATTTTCACGTTGGATAAGAAAAACCTCGTATCCTTTATCCCACTTTATGCCTGTATCATTTTAAATGCCATAGGATTATTTAGAATCTTATATTTTGTTATTTGTATTGCTTGCTTTGTCTAAATGTCTGTATTTAACTCAATTCAGTTTTGGATATCTGTGGATATCTTAATAAATGTGGAAGACAGGAAGGTGATGATCGAAGGTAATAGTTTTTGCAAACAATAGTAGTGCTTGCCTAATACTAAGCTTAAGTATGACTTTTGGTTTTATTTGGCGCTTGCATCGATTAATGTTTGGTGTTTGGCTCTGACTTGGTTCGTTGCTTCAGCCTTCAATTTACAATTATCATTTCAATTAAGTTTCACTCCCGTAGTGCGTGCGTTATGTTTATCGACTTCTCCTTTATTATTCCCCGAGTGAACTTTTTTAATTTTCACTAGTCGAGGGTGCCAATGATAATCGCAATTCGAGCCAACAACCGACTTTAAAATAACGATTAACGATAGTTTGACGATTAGTTTGACAATTCAACGAGGGAATGGTAAAACATTTTCCTATCGACGAATTGCCGGTAAAAAGTCGATTGTCATTGCTCCCTTAGACGTAAACGCTACGACTCGACGACGACGATTTTTTACCATTTCAAATCTAAGAGCCCAATGGCAAATTTTGCATTTCGCATCGCCGAGCGCAGCGTGAGCTAATCGTTAAAGCAGCCGCAAGCGTCTTTAACGTCCGCCAAAATTTCGTAAGCATACCCCTTCTCAATCCTTATCAACCGATTTATTAACCTCAACGGGAAGCTAAGCTCGCGTACTCGACCGAGTACATCGATTGGGAAAGTCTCGGTGCCAAATCCCAACGATTTATAACCAGGGTGTGCGCGTCTACTTTTTCAGGAACCCGTCGGGCGGCTCAGGTCTCAGTGAGACCGGATCCTTGGACCGGGCGAAGGCGGCCCTCGAGCGTAGAAAGAAGGCCGAAGACGGTACGGGGAATCCTGTCCTCTGCAGGGTCGAGGTCACGAGGCCGAACCCAGACTCCCTCATCGACGAGCTTATCAAAGCAACGAATCTCGATCAGTCGGTCTTGGAGAGCGCCGAAAGTGAGTATACTACTGCGTGGCTCGACGAAGATAGACAACGAATTACCTCGTTCGTTGCCTCGTTGTTATTCGTGATGGTGGTGGTGGTCGTGGCGGAGGGGGAGGGAGGTGGGAGGTGGGGGAGACGTGGATTACAAGAGTGTTTGAACCTTATTCACAGCTTCGCTTTCTTACTCTAAAAGTACAATCTGAAAAGAGATCGATGTTTTCTAGTTTCGACACTCGAACGTTAATCAGGAAATTTTGTGCTGATATTAAAATTTCATAATTTTCTTAAAGACTAGACGAACTTTCGTGCATACATAAGCTCGATTATTATTTGCAAAAATTGCCCGATCTTCAAGATTTACAAATCAAAATAAATTTAAATCAAAATAAATATATAAATGTAACTCACGTGAATTTATTATTAAAAACGTCGCAGAAAATGAGGAAGTCATATATATATATATATATATATATATAGGTCTACATAAATATTTCATTTAGAAAGTCATGAGTAGAGATTTAAAGTAGATTTCAGTTTGGCTTTTCACGTTGAAAATGATACGGGTAAACTGCATTTCAACCTTATCTTAAAGCACGGCAATAAATTCTTCCAAACTACAACATTTTATTTCTTATTTTTGATTGAGTTAGAAATAATGCGTTGTCATTAGCATTAATAATATTAGTCGAGTATGAATTTACACGTATTACAGTTACTTTGTACGCGAAGCTACAAACACAGTTTGGTTTTTGGTCATTTGGAAATCTTTCTGAATATATTTTTTATTATTTTTTATTTGTATTATTTTTTATTTTTAAATTTAAATTTGATCGATTAGCTAAGCGAGCTAGTTGATATGACTCGGACGGCCGGGATCTTCGAAAAAAAGAAAAAGTGGGAACAATAAGGTTGGAAAAACAAAAATATCGCCCTCTCGCATTATCCATAATCTCGCGGTATTACTCGGTTATATTATACCTTAACGCCCAAGAATTGCCCAACTCTATTGGATTTAATAAGATCGTGGCTTCGGCCAACTCCGAGATTGTCTAGGTCGGCGAAAGCCAAACGACGACAACGACGACGACGACGACGACGACGACGACGACGACGACGACGACGACGACGACGATGACGATGACGATGACGACCATCTCACACCTTACCTAATCGTTTGTTTGCAGCGACCGGTCTCCAGCTCTTTATAGCCAAGGACGGCACTACGGCCCTAGGCTCGCACGAGGTCAAGTCTCAGATGCCCGCTGGCGTGTTCAAGCAGGTGGTCATGGAGGAGAACAGCAGGTAACACGAAGCCAGCTCTCGGGCCCGGGGCCGCTTCCAGCGCCAGCCGAGCGCCGGGGGCGGCCTCACCCTGAGCCTCGCCCTCGTGCCGGAGCTCACCTACGAGCTCGCCTGCGATGCCCCCGGACGTGACTACGGGGAGGCCGTTGCGCTTCGATCCCTCTCCAGATTATGATCGCATTTAGCGGGTCCCGAGCCCCGGAGCCCGAGCGGCTAGTCGGTCAATCGCTCGAACGAGCCTTGCTGCTCGTCTTCTGGTTTTGGCGTGTCGGGACGAGGGGCTGACCGATCGACCGATCGATCGTCCTACCGATCGACCTACCAACCTACCGACCTACCGACCTACCGACTGACCGACCGACCGACCGATCGAGCGATCGCTCGATTACGACATCGAAACGCCATGCGATGGGATTGACAAATTGCACTCTCGATGACGACGGACTCGCTGAGCAAATTACGAGAATTCTTTTATAATTAATTTGTGTGACGAGTGCGGGGCTTTTATTATTATTTTTCGCCCACGCTATTGGGATATAAACGTGTGGTTTTTAAGTTAACGAATGGCATGGCGCACGCAGCAAACGAACACTTTCGCCAATTTTACGAGGATGATTCGCAATAATGGACACGGATGTTCGGAGGCGAAGCAACGCCGTGGTAATAATTGCAAAAGTGACGGAAATCGCGTTAATCGTTAAGCAGGAATACGCGTGCATGTATGATTGTGTGGGTGCTGTAAGGGGTGAGTGGGGAGTTGAAACACACGGGCGCACACTGGAGCGATGACGAGAGAGATAGGCAAGCGCAAGATAGGAAAAAACTAACGAATGTCGTGGCGTCTAATCGCGAATAATAAGCAAGAATATGCTTAGAACTGTATGATAATCGACAACTGCGAGAAGCGAGAGAGCGAGAAGCCAACACGTACATCGCATAATTTGAATCGCCTATGGCCGTGTGCAGACGCGCGTGTGCGTGTGGGTATGGACATTGACGCGCGCACGCGTATGCATATTTTTTTTCCGTAAAAGCGAAGCGCTGAAGCACAAGAGTTTTTTGTCGAGGCGTTTATGCAAAGCGGAGCATTAGTCAATAAAGTCGACGGGATAAATAGCTATGTAAATAAGGTAATTAAACCTATAAATAATATAAGATGACGAGGAAAAAAAAAAAAAGAGAGAGAAAAAAAGAAAGCAAAAAAATCGCCTCCGGGCTAGACGAAAACTTATAAATGTTAATTATTGTCGATGCTGCGAGTGCACCAATTTTCCCTTTTACCCGCTCGTTCTTTAACATGTTGATAATTTTCTCATAGATCGATTGATTATTATTCACTTGTTCATTTTTTTCTATAATTTTCTTTGCTTTTCCCATACTTCCAAACGCTACACCGCCTAAGTAAGTACTATTTCGTTCGGTCTCCATCTACAGTATTAACATTGCCTCGTACATGTGCTAATTCACGTTTGCGAACATTCGAAATGTAAGTTCTTCCGATGCTTTTCAGATGTCATTCGTGTTTCAACTTCGTATTTATTCCTTTACTATTTCTCTCTCTCTCTCTCTCTCTCTCTCTCTCTCCCCACCCTCCACCCCCTCCCAACCCCAATCTCCTGTTAGTAAATGCTTGTAAGAGATATTTTCAAACCCAGTGATAAGTTCGTGTGCCGCCAATTATTGAATATAAACCATTACAAGATTTAAAATTATACATTCGCTTAACGATTGTCAAAATTAAATGAAAATAGTAGCGAAAGTTGTTGAAATATGTATACGTGAAGTTTAAAAAATAATAATAATCAATTTTTTTTTTTGTTGTTTTGTTTTTTTGTTTGAAATATATATAGAAAAGAACTGATTTTAAGAATAGCATCACTTCGATAATTGATTTATCATTATGTTGATTAAAATAAGATTTTCGTGGTTTCTTAAAAATTTGTATACTCGTGCGTCGTTTTAATATACTTTTTAAGGTTAATTGTTATTATAACGACTAATGCCAAACTAATATTCCAATTGTTTATTTACCTACGATTTTTTGTAATTTTTACGTCCAACCCTCCCCCGCCCTCCCACCCGCCAACCACACTTTTCAGCGTCCGCTTTGAATTTTCAATTTTTTCAACTATTCAACTTTCAATTATGAATTTTCAACTTTCGTCGAAATGTTCTTCGGGAGTAAAAAATTCACAATGCAAATGCACAAATACAATGACTACGATTCTTTTAATCCTAAAAATCATATTAATTTGTGTATTGATTTTTCGCTTCTTAATGCGTCTCTAACGATCCCCCATTGGTGCAACGCGTAAGTCCAATAGCAATTTGTAAATATAACGTAGTAACTGTTATGTAGTTAAATTGCCGGTGTTATGTACACACTTGAATCATATTAATTTAACAATTAAACTTGTATTATTGTGTGGATACGATGTGGATGGAAATTGTGAATAAATATGGCGAAGGCGATATAGACGTTTTATTTGTTAATGGAAGAGCGAGCACATAATAATATTGGAATATGAATTGATTTAGAATTGCATTTTTCTTATTTGTTTCGTTTGAGCGTGCGTAGGTTAAAGGGATCGGATTTACCGTGTGAGACATGCGATGCAATAAAAGTATTGAACGGAAAGTTGCCACGTCAAAAGAAAAAAAAATTTGTAATTTTATCAATGCTACTGGTCGTAGTATTTTGACTACTATTTGTTGCGTTTGCGAATTATTAAGGAAACATTGAATTATTATCGACGATTACAAGCAATTAGCATTGATTATTTGTTAAATTGATATAATAAAAATACGACGTACAATATAATAATGTTCATCCATTTCATACATTATCTTCAAATATTTCATTTGGCAAATAAGTATTTATTTAAAAGCCGACGCTTTATCTGATACTCGAAGCAATTGTATCAGCATCAAATTGCAATTTCATTATGTTCGTCCTGAAATCTGTTTTTTGTTCTGACGCGAAGCAAGCTTCTACAATTACAAATGGCATGGCTTGAAATACTATATTATGAAAGTATTAGAACGGCAAGTTGAACAAATCTTGTCGCTAAAGACTCTCAGGTCGAACGTCATCGAAATGCTAAATTACTGCCAATCGACTGACGCAGTAGCGCATATTATTTTTTACATCATATATTATGCTTCGTACATTTTAATGATTTTTGTCTGACGAATGAATTTCATCGGTCTTACAGATTAATCGCAGCTTTCAAAATTTCATTGTTCAAAAGTATTTCAAAAGTATAGCTTCGTTTGGCCGACCATTTCTTACGGCTAACTGATGAGGTGATTCTCCGTGCGTAGCATCAATGATCGATTGAAATACTCAATTTGCACGATGCGAAATGAATTGGTTGCTTGCACTCTGCTTTATAAATTTTCGCACATTTGCCTTTCAATTAAGGACCTATAATGTATCATATGAAAATAAACATATGCTGAAAGACTATATGAAATTATTAATTATCAGTACTATAGAACGCCAGTAATAGTGTCAGAAAGAGAAAGCTATAAATCAATAAAGGACAGAAAAACTACATAGTTACAAAATTAGTCATATATTCTCGTTTATAAGTGTATGAAGAAAAGACGAGCTGAAAATTTACACTTGTTTCTCTCATTATATAACATAGAATCTTAAGTAATAATGAATTTTATTATTTGTTGATAAGGTGAAGAATTTTTTTATTTATTTAAAAATCGGTAAGACATATTAAGCGTCTCTGTTCTTTCGCTGCGCTATATTTCTCGAATGAGCATGGGATAATGTCCAATTTTTTTCATCATTTTTATTTTTTTTTTTTACATTACAAAAGAATCTATGCGCCTATATCGACGTTATCCCCCTATCCCCCCTCCCCCTACCACTATCGTTTTTGGCGATAAAGTGCATAAAGAAAATTTATAAAATAAAAAATAAACAAAAAAGAGAAGAAAAAAAAAATGCAAAGATTTATCGAAATTTAAAAATTGTAATTATTTCAACGAGAATTTATACTAACCATTATTGTATCGTTAATTATAATTTTTAATATAATTGGTATTCTGTATGTAAATGAGAATTCATTATAAGAGGCAGTTTCTAATTTTAATGTTATCGCTGGTGCTTTTAATGCTACTTTTAATTCTCAAAACAAAGCAAAAAACAAACAAAAAAACAAAACAAAACAAAAAAAACAAAACAAAAAAATATAGAGAAAAAAAGGGAGAATAGAATTAGAAGACACTAAAGGTAAAACTCATAATCGTTTAATGATTTGCAAATTTTTATGATTCATTTACTTTGCGACTACTACCAGTAAACGAGGATAAAGCGTACTGGAGATAAAGAAAGATATATTTTAGGACTGTTTGCGTTAAATTATATAATACCAAGCGTCTCTGAGTAGTTGACGATGCTGATCTGTGAGAAAATTTTTTCTAAAGGATTAGTAACATAATTCTTTCGAAATTATCCATATAAGGGCAATACGAATTCTTCAATGAAGTTTGTAAACATCACGAGGCAGGCCTGTACTTAGTATTTCAACTTTGATCACACTCCTGTTTAATATCGCAAATGGTTGTGTACTACCCTCTGTACATCTACATAATCTACATAGGCGCAGTATTATTTCCCCCCTTTTTTTCTTCTTATTTTCATTATTTGTTTTTTAATAGCTCGCACATTTTTTCGTTCTTATCAATTTTAACGATCAACGATTAACGCATTATGGGCGTTCGTTGCAAAGTGTAGCTGTCGCTTTCAAATCTAATACGCATATGAATATATATTTATTCGTTATAAATTTCTAAAATATATTCTCCAATACTTCCGCCTTTAGCCACTCATACATAACACAACGTATTATTCAACAATCAGTATAGCGTTTTCGCGTTTTAAAGACTATTTTAATAAATAACGTATTTTAAATAACGAGGATAGACATAATATTTTTAATGGCAATTAGAGGTGTGCTGTTGGCTCGAAATCATCGAAATCGATTGCTGGCTTTAATTTTTCATTAAAAATTCACTGGAATTGGAGCAGCTCGTAGCAGTGACGATGAACTATTGGATAGAGATAGTCGGCTAATGACTATGTAAGTCATCATATTCGATTGATAATAATGTCATACGAGTACAGCGGTAGTAGACAAACTGATGAAATCTAGCGCCGATTCTATTATTTGCCATTGCATGTATGGCCGGATGATTTGGCCTATGTTCGTAATTATTAAAAAGTTTATTCAAACTATTATCATTTTTCAAGAAGGCGTTAAAAATGTTAAGTGCTGATGGGGAATAATTGCGTCAAGTTG